ATTATGTCAACGTATGCTATCGCTTCATTTTCGTATTTACTTTTATTTATATATTCGTATGAGACATACGTGGAACCTACTACATCGGATACAACTATATATATATATATATATATATATATATATATGCGCTTTAATCGGATTTGAATTCAAAACGAGGCCCGCAAGGCCTCAATGGCCCAGTTGGTTAAGGCGTCTGTATAGACAGCTGAAGGTCTCGCTATCAAATATCATAGTTAGTTCTTTATTTATTTGTTTCACACTCTCAGATTAAAACAGAGACCAGCCAATTCTGGCTTATGAGTGAAATACAGGATATTTTTAAAACCCAAGCAAAAAACAAGATTAAAAATGTTTTAAAAACAGGATATACAAACATTTCTTAAAATATGATTTACTTAAACACATTAGACTGCCGTAAGGAATGGATTTGGTAGGCAAATTTAGCTACCCTATAACAGTGGTTGGCATTGCTCATTAAAAAATTGAATTTGTCGTTAGAGTTTAAGTCTGCAAAGGATAGGTTGATTTGGACAATATAATCGTACAGGTGGGATCTGAAATCATTATATATTGGACCTTCAGTAAAGCAGTGTAATTCATATGCTGCGTAGCACTGCGCAGAAAAAATATTGAAAAAAAACCAAATAGGAATATAATAGAACAGTACTGGAATATATATAGTAAGTAAAATAATAACACTGTTTGTTGCACAATACCTATTTCACCTATTAATATATATTTCTAAACATACCAATTTATGTATACATATATATTATTAAATATATTATTAATGAATATAAATACATTGCAGTGTTGAAGGCTCCTCTGGATTATCAACTACTGTCATCACAACCGGTAATGAAACAAGTACATGTGTAAGTGTATATGTCGGTGAAACCGTCAATATTTCAGCAACATGCTCAAATGGCTATGTTGCGAATAAGACAGTAATACCAACGACAATAGGTAGTTGCTCTGAAAGTGATTGCGATGAGGTTCTATTTGTAATTGGATGCAAACTGTCTAGTACAGAAAGTGCAACAACAGTGCCAGACACAACTCCAGAACAACCAAACACTATAACAACAGATTCAGTAATCTCAACTGGACCGACAACTGCAATATGTAAGCATATGTTCATTTAATTAGTACATTCTTAACTTATCATGTTTTTAAGAAAGGCTAATGTATATTTCGTACGATATAATACAATGAGGTTATTGTTATAATAATTAGATTATGTATTTTTATTTGTTATTACCATAAGTCTATTTTATAATGTATTTAACATTTGCCTTACCTGACATTATAGGACAAAAAAAAGTGTTTGCTTGCCCTCCTCCATCCGCCCCTATCTTTTAAAACGTTTTTTTTTTAGCTTATTTCTTAACAAATTAAAGAAAATGTGAGTGAATTTATCTTTATTTTTTGCCAGATGCCCTACAAATTAGTCTAAAGTTGTTGTCTGATGTAAGATATCACCATTCTAAGTCTTTGTGGGTTATTTCTATTCCATCTGATAAGTATTTAAAAAAAAATAAACAAATAAATAATATTCTTCAACCTGCCCCTATTTATCATTTTCAAAAAAAGAAGGGGAAACAAACAATTTATTTTTTATGGCCTTATTATCGTACCGAATACTCAGTACGTTCCCAAATATATGCGAACTAATTTGGCAAGTGATTCGAATGTGCATCAAGCCCACGACCTCCAGATAATTAATGCTGGTGTCATTCCACTAGACTACAGTGGCGTCGCCAGAATTTCCCCGTCGGTATGGAGAGGGGGGACAGATGTTCCCGATGAGAACAAGGTGCGTGTGGTGAGGCTTTGCGAAAAATTTGACAATTTAGGGGTTTAAAAGGCTTATTTAATCGATTTTAGAGTCTTAATAATGTAGAATACATATCCATATCTATATCTCATAGCTCTATTTATATCGTTGTGTCGTTTTAATGTATCGTATCGTATATCATTTTTTTTTCTCCCCGACGACGTGTTGTTTTTCTCCCTGACGTGGGGGAGGGGCCGTAATGCTGCCACTGCTAGACTACCGAGCTTGTGCTTGGTGACTAGTGTTGAATCCATTCCCAAAGCAGCAGCGGTCAAGTATTGCAAATGCGATTTCGATGTGAGTTTGCATCAGGAAAATATCATAGGAGTAATGTTTTGCCCTACTCCTAACATGTTATCATTCCAAATACTCAATACGTTCCCAAATAGGCCTACTTATTGTTCTCTGATTCAATTATCCTTCATGTATTGTGCTGTGTTTATAATTACTCCAAACATGCCAGAGTAATTCGAATAAGAAACAATGTAGAATACATATCCATATCTATATCTCTTAGCTGTATTTATATCATAGTGACTTTGTCGTATATCATTTTTTTTCTCCCTGACGACGTGTGGTTTTTCTCCCCGACATGGGGGAGGCCTACTTATTGCTCACCGATTTAATTATCCTTCATGTATTTTGCTGTGTTTATAATTACTCCAAACATGTCAGAGTAATTCGAATAAGAAAGAATAGAAAGTGTATATTCATTACTTTATTTCTCTACAATGTTTGTATTTTTGTACTTTTTCCACTTATATATATATAGTACAACTGATGTTTGAGACATGCCCGCAGGATTTTGTACGTACCACAGGAACTGGGTTAGATTATGCAATTATAGAATGGAATGAACCTATTGTTATCGGTGGTGGTGGAATGGTTGATGTGAGAAAAACGCATGATTCTGGAGCACAGTTTTCTATCGGCACACATCAAGTTAACTATACTGCAAACGATGAAATTGGACAACAGGCATACTGCACATTTCAAGTGCAAATTAATGGTATCATATTATATTATGTTATTTTTAATGGTATTTAACTACAGAAGAGCATGGTAGGAAAATCTAAATCATATTTTTCATATACTATTCGAAATGCTTTTCAGATAATGAAGCACCAAGAATAACATGTCCTGATGATATATCAAAGATGCTAGAAAATGGCAGTGTTAGTATTGCTGTTAATTGGAATAATGCAACGGCGTTTGACAATGCGGGTAGTGTACATGTTACACCATTCATTAGTAATACATATTCGTCAGGTGATCTATTCGAGGAAGGATCTTATACATTGATGTACACAGCAACTGATGATGTTGGGCTGACTGCTGTTTGTTCTTTTACTATTCTAATCAGCGGTAAGCTTTTATTCCAAAGGGCTGTTTATCTTACATTATTTTAAGTGCAATATTGACGAATCTACTTTCCACAAGAACGATAACAATTTTAAAAAATTAAAAATCAATGAAAAAATATAATTACAGTATAAAACAAAAAAACAGGAAAAATGTGCAATTCGATTGATCTTCTTTAAAGCCGTAAAGCTATCTACATTTTACATTTTAATGTTCTTTCATTTACAAATTTTTATTTAAAAAGAAAGTTAATAATATTATACTTTTTATAGTGCATTTCACTGAACACCTCACAACACACATTACTGTACATTACAACAAATAACTTTTTGTGTTGCCCAAAGAAAGTGACAGTGACATAGTTGGCGAAAGTACGACCTCGGTTGAAACTGTCAACTCAACCATATTCCAGGTACATTGGCAATCTGCAATGAAGGTCATTTTATTCATGATATTTTCTTTTAGCACATACTGTAAGACTCATTGTAGTGTTTTGACTGGTAAATACGTACTACTATGGGCTGAATTAGTTGTTGAAAACTTCCCCTTTCAAACACTGTACACTTTAGGCTTGCCGCTTCATCCTTGCAAAAATATATACGGCCCCAGACTTTTTAGAGTTTGGGCCGATTGTGCTTGAAACCAGACCTGTACCAGGGCTGTAACTTATATTTTTAGTTAATATCAATTACAATGTGTAACTAATACTGTACGGGTGCGGATGTAGAAAAAAGGTAAGTAGGGGTCATGTGTCTATCTCTGTAGTACAGTATGTCGTTTTTAAAGTACTTCATACTGTACTGTACAGTACTGTACTATACCTACCAAGGTCAGGCATGGCCATGGATTTGCCTGTAGAAAAACTTTAAATAGTGTAGTTGGTGTCCCAGTTCTGCATCTGATCATTTCGGGTTTCTTATTTTTTCTTTTGGTCTCGATTTTTTTTACGTAAACATTTTTCTCGGAGTATAAGTCGACCAGCCAATTACGCGATCTAATTAATTTTCTTTCAAAATATCGACTTATAATTATTTGGAAAATACATTAATGAATACTGGAAATGTTCAATAGGTGTTGCACTTCATGCATGGTTTGATCTTTATCATAGTCGTCGCGAGTACTACTTTAAATGGCGATCGACCGGAAAAGGAGACCTAGATGACCTTATTCATGAGAATTTTTGCATATAACCTCAAGCAATCATGTTTGGCAAATATTTTTTTGATTGTTTTTATTGCCTACATCTTTATTATTCATCAAAAGCGCAAGATATTTCAACACCAGACAGCACATAGCCCTATATGCAAAATTTCAGCTTTCTACCAGTCATTAGTTCATGTAATGTAGATCGATTTATATAGCGCTTTATACCGGAGTCTTCAAAGCGCTGTGGACTAGCTCGTGCAGTAACTGTCTGATCTACCTGGTAAGTGCACATGAGCCAAACTGTGTACACTGGACCTACGGTTTATAGTCCTTATCCAGAAGACTTGTTCCCAACCAGAACCATAGGCGATTTTGATGATTATTATTAGTCGTAGATCGACATAATAATTTAGCAAATCAGATACCATTTAAAAAAAAACCGGCCTACTCGTGTAATTTTAGATGGATAAAGACAAATATAGATTAAATTCCTTGCCCCAAAACGAAAATGAAAAGTCTGGCAGCACTGCATTCAAACACCATTTTCATAATAAAACCCGGATCACAATGGCTTCGTCAATCCGCTATTATTTGTGTAATTTCGGCACTTTTTTTCTTTTAGGATCTGTATGCCGCCCTGGTTATCGTGAATGCCCACAGAAGTGCATACAAGATTCTTATTTTTGTGATCATATTCCAGATTGCATAGATGCTTTTGACGAATCAGAACACAACTGCGGTGAGTAGATAGCATGTCTTAATTGTTTTGTTATAATAAAGGTATTAGTACCGCCATATATATGTTTAAAATATAAATATGCTTGAAACTTTCAGTATAATAAGTGGAAGAATTAACTTAGAATCTTGAATACTGATGTGTTTTAATAGTGAATGTACTGTATTTTGAAATTTTAAGTCATGTATACGTGAATTAAAATAAGAAAAGTTTGCGCTTGTTTACCCTTCGATAAAAAAAGGACCACTAAAAGAAGATAGGTTAACGTTGCATGTTATCTCATTCAGTTATTTTACACCAGAAAATCTTCGTTTATATGCTGCAAATATATAAAATTCAATATATATAATTCAGATATAAGGGTTAAATATAGTAATACGGTATACTGATAATTTAATTGATAATTTAATTTTAATATGATCCAGGTGCTCTCTCCGTGGGTAAATACATTATCTTTTAACATATTCATTTTTATAACTTAAAATATTTTGAAACCATAAAATGATATGAAACAGTGAGCTTTAATTGGTATGGGGAAATATCATCAGTTTCCTTGGAAAAACTTGTTTTGTTTGCATTAAAATTGAAATTAATATGATTTGCAATGGTTAGTCACTGCAATGCAACCAACTCATTAAGAAACCGAAAACCGACTGTTCACGACGAAAGTTGACTGTGTTTGTTAACAGACTGTGACTGAATACCGAGTGTGCTTGATTTCCCTCAATTAATCAAAATATGGAATGATATTCACTTCATGAGATGGAGACTGTGATGATACATGTTGTTACAGTTTTTTAGACTCTGTAGGTTTGGAATCCCAGATGTTTACTGATGTTTTGCCTTGTATCTGTAGGCTTTGAAATAAGCATAATTATAATATAGATAGATACTTAGTATAGAAAGGGGAAGTTAAATTATAATGTATTTATTGTATCAAATTAAATGAAGCAAGCTTCTTATTGATAAATATTCAACCAGAAATATCAATTTTGAACACTAATGAAATAATAAAATAGCATAGACCTAGGCAAGAAACTAACAAAAATACACTGTCATTATATTTTTCTAGCACCATGCAGTCCTTCTGAATATCGGTGTCCAAATAGTTCAAAATGTATCCCAGAGAGTTTCCTTTGTGATACGTATCCTTACGATTGCTTGGACAATGCAGATGAAGATTATGATTTTTGTTCAAGTAAGTTTGATTCCATCACTTTTGTGATTCTATAATTACCCAATAATGAAAATCATTGTTATTACTATTTAAGGTTCCGTAATATTGCTCTTACTCTTTAATTATCTTGTTTTTATTGTTGCTTTGATAACGTTGTTGGTCATCCAGGTCCTTTTTATTTAATTTTTTTTAATTGTTTTATCTTGTACATCATATACCACTTCTTTTGTCTGTCTCCATTTTTGTTTCTATGTGATATTTTAGGACCCGTTGGAAACAAGTTCTTCAGAACTTTCACAGGTTATCCTGGCATTAATATCTGGTTTTTTTTGTTTGTTAATATCAATTCTTTACGTGGTATATGATGTTCAAGGTAACGCAAATTTTTTTGATGAAGTATTTTATACAACTTATGACATTTTTGCCGTTCTATCATTCTATTTTGATATTTTTTGTACTTTATATTTTAATGTAATTTCAAATAAAACGAAACGAAACGAAATATATTTGTTTATATTGAAATTACGATGCTGCGCAGCACACATATTTTGAATGTGTCCTCTAAGTAAAATTAAATGTAAGAACTTGGAAAAAACGAAGGTTGATTTGTGGAACACAAATTTATTAACGTAATGAAAGGGAGGATATTTCTGTAGCTCCTGCTCTTTTTATTAGTGCTAACATGAGTAAACTTAGAAGATCTGTCATGTACATGTAGTTAATAAATGGTATTAACTAATCAGAACTGAGTGGATTATTAATTAATATACAAGTAAACAATAATAGGACATTGGCAAAATAGAGATGGTTATATAAGCAAATATAGTTTATATATGCAAGGTAGTATACATTATTTTTCACCAATGTATGTA